TGGACTTCAACCTCCAACCTTCTGGCTAACAGCTGAGTGATTTAAACAGCTTGCCACCCAGGGACTCCAGGAAAAAGAAGACAATCTAAATAGAAAGCATCTGAGTCATGTAGAACTGCTCTCCTGGAAATACCACAGATGGGTGGCCTTCACAAACAGACATTTATTCTCTCACAATTTAGGAGGTTAGAAGCTCAAATCCAGGACACCTACTCTAGTGGAAGATGGCCATCAAGCTTTCCCTGGGTCTAGGAGTTTCTCAGCACAGGAACCCCTGGCCCAAAAGATTCTCTTCATTGCTGGGTCTGCTTTCTTGGTGCCTAAAAGGTCCCTTTGATCTCTTCTCATTTTTAAATTCTCTTCTATGTCTCAAGAGAGATTTAACATACAGTCCAATCCTGTAGATTGTATGATACCTCATTAACATAACTGCCACTAATTCTGCCTCATTAACATTTTAGAGGTTAGGATCTACAACCCATAGGTTAATGACATCAGATCACAAATGGGAGATTATTACATAATACTGTGGATATTGGCATAGGCAATTTGATACATACCTTTTGGGGGAGAAGGAAGACAATACAATCCATAACTGGAAGTACACAAAGTATACTTAGTATAATAGATAGCACTTTTTAATAAAAGCATCAATGAGTTACAAATAACTGGTGGGGGAGTCTGAGGCATGAGTGAAAGCACCTTAGAGGTCAGGAACTGCTTTTGAACAATGGTAGGGCACCATCTGAACTGTAGCATAAGGAATGTGAAACATTTCTTTTAGAATTGTGGTTTAAGGAACCGGAAACATTGGATTTTGAACAAACCTCTCTATTTCTTCATCCATCCCACCTCTAATCCCTAAACATACAACTCTCTGAAATTTATTAGAGATTTACTTACGTTCTCAGAGTTTTTGCACTCCTCACAAAGATTCAAGCTCCACTGGGCAGAACTGTGTTTTCTTTGCCTACGCTACTCCCAAGTGCACAAGGCGGCCTTTATCACATCACGAATGCACTCAGAACATGCTTAGTGAATGAACGAACAGAACTGCTTTTCCCCAAAGGTTACCTTATAACCCAAGACATTGTTTGAAATGCCCTCATTTTCTGACATGGCAGTCATTGGGGATGCATTTAGGTAGTCAGTAGGGGCATGAACTGTGGAATTTCACAGTTTATTTTAGGAGATTGTTCTTGGCTCTGACATGGTTAGTCTTGGGACTTTATAGAAATGATAAGGAACCAGTATTTCCAGGGTTGCACGTAGGGCCGATTCTATTCACAGAACAGTGCTTATTCTAAGTGTGAACTCCTCTCTATTGATCATTTCCAGCTGGTTGGAAAACCATTCTTGCCTTCCTACTGGAGCCTTGGGTTCCAGCTGAGTCGCAGGAATTATGGGGGCACCGCAGGATTGACAGCGGTTGTGAACCGAAACCGTGCAGCTCAGATCCCGTATGTAAGTCAAGATTGCTCCTGTTCTACATTAGGCATTGCTTTGGGTCTTTCCAATTTTGCATTAAATTTATTTTATGAGGAAAAAATATCTATGTGTGGATCCACTGAGGAACAGTCGGAGATACACATGGTCTGAAATGTGCCTCCTCCGTTAGCATTGCCCCCTGGGGAGAGTTTAGATTATGGAGACCGATGGTCCTGGTTTTGAATTCGACGTTTGCCTCCTCTTAGCCGTAGGCACCATTGGGTGAGCTCATTGACATCTCTGAGCCTTGGGGTTCTCCTCGTAAGATAAGCCTTCCTGAAGAAGGCTGGCAGTGAGATATGTTTTATGCCACTCATATGAAGCACCTGGCACAGAGGAGGATTCCACCAATGCCAGCTATGACTATGTAAGAGGAAGGTGCACCTGAGTTGACATAGTTAGCAAGGAAGAGCTAGCAAGTGAAGACAAGAAGAGGTGCAGTGTCACTCCCTCACGGTGCCCTCGAGCACCTCTCCCAGATCTAGCAGACTCTGGTTATGAAAGTCCTGTAGTTACACAATATTGATGATGTACAATGAAAATCAATGAGTCAAAAGACAGTTACCAATTGGACTCATATCACAGTTGGGCATGCTAGGAGATGAATGGCAAAGGGCTCATGATGTTGTCAAAACAAGGTGCCATGTATACTGGAGTGTAAGCTGACCCGCGTATCAGTCGAGACACCAAATTTTACCACAAAACCTGCATCAAAAATGTGCTGAACAACTCGGCTTATACACGAGTATGTATGGTAGCTTGCAGTAGCTCCTTGGGACTTTGGAGCAAGCATGCCTACTTTTAGAAATGGTTTATTTGGCATGTACTTCACATATCATACAATCTAATCCTTCAGTCATACTCAGAAGATTGGTGCAATTATCCACATAATCAATTTTGGAACATTTTCTTCTCGTGCTCATTGTGGTTAGCTCCTCATCCCCACCACCACCCCATCCTCCAATCTCATGCCCCTTTCATAGGGCTGGCACCTGAAGAAGGTTGCAAAGATGAACGACTTGGGCCAGACTCCAGAGGTCTGCCTTTGCCACCCCAGCTCAGAGAAGCAAGGTGGGCAGGCGGCAGGATGGACATGTCCTGGGAGAACAGCCAGACCTCCTCAATACGACTTGAGTGTTCAGCAGAACTTGATCATGAGCTCCCTTTTGCTGCTCCCTTACCTGCTGTCTGCAGACACTCAATTCTAGGTGTTTAGGAATGCCTTTGTTGCCACTGGGAGCCTGATGACATGGTGGGTTATGAATTAGGCTAACCGCAAGGTCAGAAGTTTGAATCCACCAGGCACGTCTCAAGAGAAAGATGAGGGTTTCTACTCCAGTAAATAGTTATAATGTTGGAAACCCACAAGGGCAGTTCCACTCCGTTTTGTAGGGTCACTGTGAGTCGGGATTGACTCCAAGGAAGTGAGGTCAGCTTTGGTTTGGTTCTTGCCACACCTTGATTATTTTACCAGTTGTTTGTTGCCATTTCACAGGCAAGGGAGTGAAGAGGTTGGCAGTGAGGGACCTAACCAAAGTCACAGGGCTGCTCTAGGGGAGGGAGCAGATTCACATCTGGTCCTTTAACTCAATGGGTTCCAATCTAACTGCTGGTCCTCGGGGGAAGAGCTTCTTAAGGTAATCCTATTGAGGACATAAAGGAGCTCTCCCTTCCATCCTGTGGCTATGCAGGATGCCTGATCCCAAATTGCTGCCCACTGTCAGGGCAAATGCTGCAACAGTGCACATACTCCTTCTGACTCACGGCCACCCTAGAGGGCTGAGTAGAGCTGCTCCACAGGGTTCCAAGACCAAGACTGTCATCTTCAAAAATCATATATATAGATCCATATGTACATAAAGATAAAGAGATTTAGATCGAGAAAATGGCACACATTTGTAGAAGAGGGTAAGTCCAGTCTCGTTCAAGCATAGGGGTTAGACATTAAGGTGGAGGCTTTCAGACTCACATAGCTATAGGGACTGACAAACCAGGAAGCAGGAAGATAACCCCAGGAATTAGGAAGACCATAGGCTGGTGGATGCAGAGTGGGATGAGTCCAAGGTCAGAGGTTATATGGCCAGTCAGATGGCAGGCAGCTGAGGGTTCCCAGGGTCAATAACAATTTGGCAGGCTGCTGGCTTAGGTCCAAAGATTGGGAGGGCTATAGCCCAGATGCCAAATCCAGACAAGTAAGAAGTGAAGAAGCCCTTCACAGTCTCTCCTTAGGTACTAAGTAGTCCACACCCCGAGGAGTCATCTTGTCGCAGATCTCATTATGGAACTGGGTTGAGTACACCGTGGAAGGTAATATCATGGGGGGTTACTAGACCCTAACTGCCAAACAACTAAGCGTTCTGGTTGAGCCAAGTTGATACAATCTTAGCTGTCACACGAGGTCATATGGTAATTCTGATTTATTTTTGGAGGGAGAGTATAACTTCAGTCTTAAGGACCAATGGCCAGTTTTCTTTCCACAGGGTATGTGGTGCCGTTCCCCAGTTTCTGATCCATCTGTGCTGTCTTTCAGGATGTGCAGTACTCTGACATAGACTACATGGATGGAAACAAGGATTTCACTTATGACAACAGGACTTACTCTGATCTTCCAGAGCTTGTCAGTGAGTTGCACCGCAACGGGCAGAAATACATCGTCATGATGGTACATGCAGATGCTCACTTTGTTGCCTTGCTTTTCCATCCAGAGTACAAGTGAGTTGCAAAATTCATTTCTATATCATCTTTATTTATTAGAATCCTGGCATCCCCAACAGCTCTGGCTATCAGCCCTATGAGGATGGAAGGAAAAAGAGGATATGGGTCCTTGGGAACAATGGCCCTGCTATTGGGAAGGTAATGTCTCAGGACAACCCATTGGGGAGACTTACATTTGTGGACTAAAGTTGAGGGATGGCAGGTGATGCGCTCCTCTCTTCATGGCCTTGATGTGCTTAGTTTTCTTAGTGATAGTTTTAAACAAGTAGATGCAACACCAGCAAAACCAGACCCAGGGTCAATCTGACGTCCAGGGGCCCTTACAGACACGGCAACACTGCCCTGCAGGGTCCTCAGGGCTGTCCATCCTTAGGGAAGCACACTGCCTCACGGTCCTCCTTTGGAGTGGCTGGGGGAGGTCCAACCACCAGCCTTCCCGTTAGCAGCCAACTACTTCAATGGGGTGCCATCAGGAGACCGGAGGAGTAAAATGATGGCAATGATTGGCGTATTGAGGGGTTTGAGGCTAGCTCCTGACCATCTGATAGAAATGTAATCTAGTATTAAGAAATTGATTGATACGTCAAACCCTCCTTCCTCTCCATTTCTCTTTCTTTAGACTCCACCACAGCCAAGCAGCAAGGTGCTCATGGGCTAATGTGAAACTGATCTATCTTAGCCAGTGGGGGCTCAAGGTATAGCTGGTGTGTTAGGGCTCTCAGCCTTGATGCTGGTGGCAGTTTCACGCACGGGGAGGGGCTGGTTACGAGTTCATTTTGGTGACAGTTGTGTTTGGAGAGCATTTTGACTGCAATCATGCAGGAAGTTTTGTATTGCAATTATGTGGGAGGTTCCACCCGACATGGCTGGATGGCATGCAGTGGACTGAAACAGGTTGTTGCTCATATTTAAAAACAAAACCCACTGCCACTGAGGCCTTTCGGAATCACCGAGAACCAATAGGAGAGGACAGAAATGCCCCCGTGGGTTTCGGAGACGGTAAATCTTCACAGAAGTGAAAAGTTCATCCTCCTCCCTCGAACAGGCTGCTGCTTTCCAAGTTCACAGCCCAACCCATAACCCACGACAATCCCAGCAAAAGGAAACAGGAAACACACTGCCATTAGGTTGATGCTGACTCGTGGTGGTCCTATAGGACACCCTGGGTAGAAACGCCCCTGTGAATTTCCGAGACTAACTCTTGTCAGGAGTGGAAAGCCTCATCTTTCTCTCTTGAGTTCCAGTGGTTTCAAACTGCTGACATGGCATTAGCAGCTCCAATGTGTAACCACTATGCCAGCAGGGCTCCTCTGTATAACTCAGGGGCTGCATATTATAGCAAGACTTGAATTAGATGGTTGCCTCCATTGACTGATAGATAATATGAATCTGCTGATCTGTCAGCAGAGACAATAGTAGTAGTCCTGGTGATTGGAGTGGCATTTGTGGGCCTGCCCTAGGGAAACC